GGTGCCTGCTGCTTTCATGAAGGATGAAGGGATGGACTGTGGACGGTTTTCTAGGATGTCTACAAGGATAGAGATATCTGGAAGCTATTTTGGTTTCTGATGAGTGTCAGAGGCCTTGACACTTTCCCTCTTAACCATTTGAGGACATCTTTGTAGCCAGAGCTGTCTTTATATGATGGCAAATGGTGTGGGAAGGAAAACCTTCAGACTTGGATAATGTCAGCTTTGCTTTGGAAGAGTAGTCTTTAGAAACAGTTCTGTATTCTCTGTTGTCTCATTTACTTCTTACTGGATTGATTATTTTTAGAAACATTCCATAATTCTATATTTTCTGGCTTCCCAAAATGAGTGTATTTTCTTATGTCTAAAGTAGTTAACATGTGTTGCTATCTAATTTACCTCTTTCTCTGTATTTCAGAGTAACTCTCATTTATTTCACAAAGAGCTGAAATAATTGCTGAGAGGACAACACACCTTCTTGTCTCGGCTTGTGTCTCTGAGATGAGATGGATACCTGATTATAATCCTGTTAGCCACTAGGCAGGTACTTTTAGGGACCATTACCTGGGCTCGAAGAGGAAGGGCAGGATGCTGCCCTTTAAATGACAGTTAATGTACTTTCAAACTTTCTTCATTATGGCTAACGCCCCGATCCATTCATTTTAGGTGTCCTAAACGTTGCTCTTCACAATCCTGAATTTTCCACCTGGAAGCTTTCGCATCTGCTACTTTTTAAACATTGATACAGAGCCTCTAACTGAATATGCTCAGCAATGTGCCCACATGGTGTGGAATGGTGAGTCTCTCCTGTGTGAACATAGGTAATATCCCCAGTAAAAGCCCCTTACTTTCTTTGATAGAGTAGAATATTTTCGGTCATGCCTAGCACTCTCCTTCCCTGCTGCATGTATCGACCTCTCTAGAGTGGGTACCTGTCGGCAGCAAGAGGTCAACAACCCTCAGCAGCAGAGCCCCTTCCTGAGGCCATCCTGCCCAGCTTGTACCCAGTGGTCATCAGTCAACACAGCAGCGCTGAACAAAGCTACACAAGGTAGAAGCAGACCTTTGCTGTAAGACCCACTCACTCGCCCCACGAGCTCTGAACTACCTTCTCTAAGTTAAGAGCAACTTACCTGAAGCTAAAGGCCTTGTGTGAGGCTGAAGGATATGATCTTGTCAAGTTGGAGCTTTAAATACAGAATTCT